CCCCAAAACCCCAAAACCCCAAAACCCCTTTTGATAAAATTCTAGTTGAATTTGTTACAATCAAAATACTTGAAAAACAAAAATTGTATATATAATCTCTAAAATCAATAATCAAATTCATCTAAATCTAATTATTATTAATGCTTCTTGCTTAACTTTTTTCTTAATATCTTCTATTTTGAATTCATCACCTATTTCTTTCTTTATATACTATTTATCAGAATCAAATCCTTTTATTCCTCTAAAAGCTATTAATTTTGCTAATCGTTGATTTAAGGTATTTTTCTCTCTTCATACTATCTTTACTGATAACTGCTGTTTATTTTATTAAGCTAAATAGAGTCATCAAGCTATTCGCTAAAGATATTCATATCGCTCGTTGAAATTTAAGTGTTTTTCATTGGGGTTTTTAAATCAATACTTTCTAAAAACTAATTCGTATTTGATCTTTTCATTTTCTCTAAATAGAAACTCTTGATTATGGAAGAGTCATTCAATTATTCATTAATTGATAATCCTGAATCATCTATTAATAGATCATTTTTTTTTGGAACTTTATTTTTATTAGAATCACCTTCTGTGATTGGCCTAGAATAAGATTAATGCATAAATATATCATTCTTTTTCTTTAATTCGTCTTTGAATGATGATATTATATTTAGCTAAGGATCCTAATTAATGTCATATATAATCTCGCCTTCCCCAAGCTCTTCTTCATCGTTAATTTTATTTAGATTATTCTGAATAATTCTGTATTGTTTTTTATTGTATACATTATCATCAAATTACTCGAATTCGAATGTAAATTTTTTAAATATTTCTTGATCAAATTATTAGAATATAAGTTCTTAATTTTCCCTATTTAAGACTATAGTTTAATCTTCAATAGATTTCTTAGCTTGCTATAAGATCTTAAAATACTCATTCTTTAGAAAAGTATTCTACTTTCTAGCCTCATAATCAATAATTTGTCCTTTAAATTTGTTTTGATCTCCACAATTGCACAAAAGCAAGTATAATTTCGGAAAAGTCTTTCTGATTTTTTACATTAATTCATCAATCATTCTTATGGTCCAATAGCATAAGAAAATTAAATTAGCTAGAACAATAATGATAAAAAATGCGAATTTTGTTTCAGGATCTAAAATTACTGCACCAAGAGCATAATCGGGATTTTCCTTTATCCATTTCTCAGGTAAATCAGTTATGAAAAATATACCACAATAAATTGAAATCATTGAAGTAACTAGTGAAACTAATTCAAGATTATTTAAATCTAGTGTGCTATAGGGTTTATTTTTCATTGTCAATATCAAAAAACTATAAATCATTAAATATCGATAAATAAAATTACAAAGTTAATAGGAAGAATACAATTAACGCTTATGCTAAAGCACCAACACTTCGAACAAAAACTGCTACTAAAATCAAAAATATTTTTCGATACATAATAATGATCTCCCAAAAATAAAACTCTGGCTTATATCCTCTATATAAAAACCCATACATTTCCTTTATTTAAAGCTTATCTAATTAAAATCGAACATTTCTCATTAAAACAAAAGCGAATGCAGGTATCCCGATACCCCAAATAATAATTGAAGGAAGGGCAATAAAAAAACTGAAGAATTTGTGTTGAGTACTCCAACAAATAATCTCAAGATCATTAATAACTCTCAACTCGTCTTCTATTTCAAAGCAATAAAAATTATAAAACATTGTTTGTACAATATTCGGATGAATTAAAAATAATACAATAACGATTGTCGACACTGCTTTCTGAGATATACTTCTCAAATTACTTTTAATTTTTTAATATAATACCCAGTATCCATAGCAAATTATGGTTAAAAATATTGGAGAGATTGCTAAAAACATCATTTTAATGAATATAATCCTAATACCATAAAATGGAGGTTCATTTTTATTTTGAGTTTGATTCTAAATCCTTTGATCTAAAAAACAATCAAAACTGAAAATCTAATTTGATACTTATGCTACAGGTTTAGAGGGTTAGAAAAAACTAATTAATTATCTAGGCCAATTCAAGCTAAATGAAGCAGTCAATAGTATTAATTAAAAATGATTTAAGAGAATTTTCTGATATATTCCTGTAAGATTATTTATTTCCTTCGCTCCTAGTAATGTTGATCGAATTATTATAACCACAAAAATTGCAATTGCTAGAATAAGGAAAGTCAATCTTAAAATGTTTGTTGATCTCTCTGGGCATTTGCTACATTCAAATTCATTTGTTCTTGAATAGCCAATACTACAATCGGAGCACAATACTCCTTAATAACCAATGTAACATGAGCCAATAGGATCATTTATAGGTTCTATCATCCCTAAACAAGCTGGCTCGTATAGACATTGTATAAATAGTGAAGAACTATTGGATTTTCTCCAAAACCCAGGTCTCGGACCTATATTTGAGCCTCCACTACATAGTGCCCTATCAGAAGGGCAACTTTTACATTCACCAGGTTCTATCATTTTAGTTAAAGAAAAACTTTGACTTTCAGGGCAACTTTAACATTAGCCTTCTTGTGTAAATTATTCTCCAATTTCACATTCTCTTACTTTAATAATTATATCGAAATCCAAATTAATTTTTTAATCTCCTTATTTCTAAACATATTCCTAGTTAGATTTCTTTCTTGGATTAATCCCATCAGAATTAAATGATAATGTGTATTAATATCCTGGAGTAGCAGAAAAACTTATATCCTTAACTAGAATCATACCTGCAATTGATTCAAAACTAGAAGTTCCTTCAATTATAGGCGGATAAACAATAGATTTTTGATTTTATAAATTTTCAACATTTACAGAGACCTTTACTTTACTAGAAAAATCTGATAATAAAATTTATCCATATTTATCAACATGAGCTAAGTATATTTGAGGTATAGGTCCTCCACTTCTTTGATTTTATATTTAACCATTACTATCTAAAATACCTTCCACTAATAATCTTTAAGCATATTTAAAATCTTTATCTAAATATTCTTTCTCTTTCTCTCAATTGACAAATATCAATCATTAACATTTTTTCATTTTTAGTTAGATTTCAGCAAATATTTGATCATCATTTTTTAAAATTCCAAGATCCAATAATTTAAAGTTGTAGTAAGTCTAGTTAATAACTATAAGATTCTAGGAAAAGCAGGCAATATTATCACCATAATAAAGTGCTTTATTTTTAGAAAAAATAATGTCTGAAAATTAAGGCTCAACAGCATCCCAAAAAATAGCTCCACCTTTAATTTCAGCTAAATTGTTTGTAAATTTATTTTATCTTGACAAAGTTAACTAGCAATTTAGATAAGTCTCATCGCAGGTAAAATATATTGCTCCTCCTGCTCCTGCGATTTCTTATTTGGAATAAGTTGATTGATAGAGTGCTTTATTGTCTTAAAATGTAGAGTTTTGAATCGACATATACTAAATATTATTTAGAAAGAAAACACCACCAGCAACGTTTGCTACACAATTTTGAAACTTTGAATTTTAAATTTTATATTTTTCCAAAGAGTCAGATACTAATTTATTGCCTTCATTTTCCTCGATGTAAATTGCAGAACCAATTTAGCTGAATAAACTAGAGAATAAACTTTATGAAATGTAGATATTTCTACAATTAAAACATTGCAATCCCGCACCTTGAGTACTTTGTATATTATTTATTTCTTTTATTTAGCTGTCAATTATTTAAACACCACATTGTTCAGCATATATTGAATTTCTTGCCAATTTGTTCACTATACTCACAGATTAAAGAGTTAGATTTTTATCTGTATTCGAAGCGTATATATCATCTCCTCCATCTTAGGCACGATTCTATAGAAAATCACACTGTTCCAAGATGATACTTTAAAATCCTACAGCATAAATAGCCCCTCCATTTGTAAATGCTTGATTATTTTTAAAACTGCTTTTAAATACTTTTAAATTACTAAAACCTGATAAGTAAATTGCTCCTCCAATTTAACCATAACCATTAAGAAAGTCAGAGTTTTATATTGTTAATTCCACATCTGTTATTAAGAATAAAAAAGTTCCAATAGTCATGTCTTTATAATTTTTTATATTATACTCATCACTATCCTTCTATGTTTTGATAAATTTAGTCTTGAAGATATAAACAGTAGAAAATCCAATAAAAATATTCTTTGATCTTTGCAAGGATTCATTATCCTTAAAATAGCATGACTCAATAAATGTTTTGGAGAACATCAATGACATAGAATTTTTAAGTGCCTTATTTTGCGTAAAGTCAGATTATTTAATGGTGTTATTTTAGGAAAAGCTACTTTAAATGACAGAAATAGTTGAAATTTCATTCGCTTGATTCAAGTTAAATATGGTTCCATTAATATCAAAATATGACTCAGTAGTCGAGTAAATAACTCCTGCAGAAATATATGCAAGATTATTTGTGAATAATGAGGATCTAACATTCAAATAAGAATTCTGATTCATTTAAATAACACCTCCAATATTTCCAATATTTTTATCAAACTCAGATTTATCTAAATAAACTTTTGATTATTAAAGATAAAATACACCTCCTTAAGCACCAGCATTTAAATAATACCTTGATTCTGAGTCTATTAATTGAGTATAAAGTAAAGTAAATACACCACCAAAATTTGTTATAAAGCAATGCTTAAATAAATTTTTCTTTGAACTAACATTCAACGCATTTTTTATTAGAATGTTAGATTAAATGTTGAATTAGGGATCAGTTTAATTTAAATATTCCTTTATTAGAATGGGATTAAAATCAGTCTTGCAAATTATCCTATTATTCTATAAAGAAATTTCCACATTAGAAGATGAGGAAAAAATTGCAGCACCTTCAGGAGAATAGAATTCAGACATATTAGAATTTAGTATTAATAATGATCTTGCATCAATAATGTGTATTATACCACCTTTTGACAGAGCCTTTTCGTTTTAGAATTTAATCTCAGTTAAATTTATATTCATCAATGGGTTATCAGAACTTATGAAGCCACCAAGGTAGGCACTATTATATTCGACAGAAAAGCTACTTAATATTGAAAGCCAAGTATTATTTTGAAAGCCTATCCTAGATTTGCTTACTAGAAATACTCCTCCATCCTTTACTGAGGTATTATTTGTAAAATTAGTGTATGAAATATTAGCTCTTACTTGATTATCTAATACAAATACACCTCCACTCAAAGCAGTATTAAGATAAAATTTTGTAAAATTTATCTCCATTATACATTAGTCACAAAGAATCACTCCTGCACCAATAGCAGCATTATCATGATAGGATGAATTGTATTCTATTAATTGGGTGTTTATTAATGTATAAACTGCTCCTTAGTGAAAGAAATAACAATTTCGATATTCATTTTCATTAGAAATTACTCCAAATTAGGAATTTTCTATATGAAATGCTCCAGCAAAGGTAGATTTAAAATTTTCTAAACCTGAATTTACTATTTCTTTGTCAAATATCTCCTCTGATTCAATAATAGTTGAACTTATACTCATGTGAAATTTTTGATAATTCGAGTATAGCAATGATCCCATTTGTAAAGCACTAAACTTTTAAAACAAGGACTTTGTTAATATTTAGCTGTCTGAAGTGATATTCAATAATCCATCCATCTTATTTATGTAAAAGACACCTCCAGATTCAACTGCTGAAGAATTAACAAATTTAGATTAGTGTAAAAAGAGATATTTTAACTAAGTTGAGCTAATATAATATGCTCCTCCTGAAATACCCGCTAAAGTATCTGAAATATTAACTAAAGTCATATTGAATTAGCTTTAACCTATTGGATTCCGAGGTTCATCAATATAAAATATTCCTCCATAACTTATGGCCTTAGAATTTTAAATATGTGATTCAGTTATCAAAGTTGGAGATGAATCAGAGATATACATAACACCTCCAGAAATAGCATATGAATTAGTAATAGTAGTATTTTTTAGATATGCTTAAGTTCCTTCAAGAAAAAACACGCCACCAAATAATGCAGAGTTATAGTTATAAATAGAGTTAATATCATTAATTTTTGTTCTAAATAAAGAATATGCAGCTCCAATATGACAAAGATAACAGTTTTTAATAATTTAAGAATCCACTTCTATCAAAAGCGCATCTTGAATGTAAAAAGCACCTGCAAAATCATATAGTGGAATAGCAATATCTATTTTGCCTCTAAGATTTATATTATACTCATATTGCAGATATGAGCATGAAACAGTATTATTTTTAATGAATAGTTATAATTAACTGCTTTCAGAGTACATTAAACTGCCTTTGATGAGAGAACTGAAGTTATGAAATTAAGAATTTGTAATGGTCATTTAAGTTTAGTTTAATATTTAAAAGATTCCTCCTTAATATAATGAAAAACTATTTTGAACTGTCAAATTATTTATTATGATTTCCTAGCCTGTATTATTTATGAGAAACGCCCCTCCAGTCTTATTACTTTATGAATTCTAGATAAAAAAGTTTTCCAATAATGTTTAGCCATTTAATTCTTAAATCATCATAATTCCTGCCTAATCTAAGCTAAATGAATCATTAAAACTTAGATCTTTAAGTATTAACTTTTTTAAATGATTAGATATGTAAAATATGCCTCCAATTTAAGCCTAATTAGATTGAAAAGATGAGTTCTGAACACTAAGAGTACAGTTTTCACAAAAAATCACTCCCCCTTTAATTGCACTATTGTACATGTAATTTGATTAGACATCTGAAAAACTTGAATTTATTAAAGTAAAAATGCCCCCTTAATAGCAAACATAGCTATTTTAAAATAGGTTTTTATAACTTGAGATTGTCTTGATTAAGTTTTTTGCATAAAAAGCACCTGGAATAAAATTACTCAAGAGTTCCGAATATTTTCCTGTCCATTGCTACTTCATTTGGTTAAATGTATTATTTTATAAAGTAATTTGTACTTAGCTACTGTCTGCAAACATAAATGATCCATTTAACATCGATTAATAATCTTAAAAGACAGAATCAATTAATATAATCTCTTGAGAATTAATTATACTAAAAATTCCTCCATTACTATTTAAAGCCCTGCTGTTATCAATCAATATTGGCTAATTGTTCTAAAATAAAAGCAATGAGTGATTAAAATGGAAACACCCACCATTTTAATATGCAATGCTCTAATTGAAATAATTGAAATTGATCAATTTAATGATACATGAACTAGATTCATCTCTACCAATTGCATATATAAGTCCCCCATCATTTAAAGCAATCGAATTTTAAGTTTCAATACTGTCTAAAGTTATATTACTGCTCTTCTCAACATATATTAGGCCACCATCAAATGCTTTTATATTTTAAAATAAAGTCTTATTGATTTATAATTCTGAATCAATAGCATAAAATACTCCACCTTAAACTGATGAAAAGTTTATGTAGGTAGAATTATACTCAACTAAGCTTGAATTTTATAGATAGAACATTCCACCTTAGTTTCTATTATGGCAATTTTAATAAGTGTTTAGCCTAGAGCAAATAAAGTTTGAATTCATAGCATAAATAGTTCCACCATATTTATAAATTGACTTTTGCAAATTAGTATCATCATCATATTCAGTATCTGGCTACTCACATTGAATTTAATTTTCATTCAAATAAATTGATTCAATTACCTAATTGGTATAAATTAACGATCCCTTATTAAAAGCTCTGATGAAAGTAATATTAGTGGAAAAAATATTTATTGAACTTCCCAAATTCATATTAATAAACCCACCATTGATGTTTGCTGAGGCATTTATAATTTAACTCTCATTAATTTCTATCATTGAATTGATTGCATCAACAAAAATTCCACCTCCATTTTGTTCCTTGCTACTCAACCAATTCATTTTTGAATTGGTTATCTTAATTTTTATTAATTCAATTGCATCTTAAGCAAATATTAATCCTCCATTTCCTATTGATTGTGAAATGCTAATATTAGAATCATTGATAATTATATCTGTTTACCCACTAACGTAGTAAACCCCTCCAGTGTAAGCAAAAGATTCAATAATTGTGATATTGGTAAATTAACCTATGACTTTATTGAAAGAAAAGCTTCCACCTCTAAGTGCAGAAATTTTGGAGTAACTTGAATTTCTATCAGTAATCTTAGTGTTTTCTAAATTATATATTCCTCCAGAGAAAGAACCTCTACATTAAGATACTTTCAAGTCATCAATTTAAATTTCTTATGCATTTTTTATGTAAAATAAGCTCCCAGTAGTGGTTTTGTTTTTATTTATGCCAATTTCAAAATTATTTTCATCCTCATATAAGCAAATTATTTTTGTAAGAGCTATTTGTATATTTAAACCATTTTACTCAGAAAATATCAAGGATCCTTAATTTGAAGATGAAATATTTGAAATTGATACATTTTAAAGAATTAATTTTTGCGCTTTTTATTCGAGATATATATTTCCTTTATTTGCTGTATAAATATCCATCAAATTACAATTTTCAATTTTTATTTCTAAGTCTGGATTGCTGCTCCAAAATAATCCACCATCTTAATGTGATTCTATAAACTATAAAGTATCTTTGCAATTCTAAATTGTAATTTAAGCTAACCCGTTGCCATATATTTAAATGATTCCACCTTGAACTCTAGATTTTGAATTCATTATCCACGTATTGTCAATTATTACTTTTGCATTGTTTTATAGATCTAAAATTGAGCCATACATAGAAATTGAGTCTTTAAATGTTGTATTAATCAGGTTATAAGTTAAACCACTTCCATTAATGCTTATAATTCCTTTTAAGCCTCCATTTTATCTATAAATTGAAGATTTTTCTTAGAAATTAATGTTAGGCTAAATCATAAAAACTGATCCTTATCTTGTATTATAGCACTAACTATACTCATTAAATTCTGAAATAATTTAACCTGTTAAATCAGTTTTAAAGCAGAAGAGTCCCCCAATTAAATTTTGTGATTAATCTAAATCTTAAATAACTTTATTGTAATAATCAGGAAAATCTTAATATATCTCTTGTTATCTACATTAAAATGAAGACTCTTTAATAGAAATAGTTATATTTAAGCTAGTGTTTTCGTCCCCAAAACAAAATGACCCTTCTTCAAGTGAATTTAAGACTTTAAATTCACAATTTTAAATTTAAAAATTAAGGAAACTAGTAGTTTGATCATAAAATACGAATCCTCCATTTTTCATTGATTAAATGTTGGAAAACAATGAATAGTTTAGAACTATGGATAATTGCTATGAACTTGAGTGCAATACAGCTCCATTAGAGTCAGCTTTAATATTTTGTATAGTAGATTATTAATCGATTATTACTGAATTCTGAATTTCACTTATAAGATTAAATAGCCCTCCTTTTTAAGAAACATATGTATTGTTTATCGACGAATTTTGTATTTTAATAAATGCATCATTTCCTATGCAATAAATTAGTGCTCCATTAGAACTTCTAAGATTATTAATAGTCGTATTATTGGCAATTGTTAAATTTGTTTTAATACTCTGAGAATAAATCAAACCTCCTTCAAATGTAGCATTAGAATTCGACACAAAGCTATTATTCATTGTAATTTAACTACTAACTGCATCTTGAATATTTATTAGTCCTCCTGCTAATCTAGCAGAAATATCATAAAATTTACTCTAAAAAATGTCAATAGCAACTATGCTAGAGTCAGAACTTAATAAATTTCCTTTGATTGCTTCGATATTTTGCAAGTACGCATTTTATAGACTAAGTTCAAAATTAAATGCTAAGGAATTAATAACAGCACCACTAACTGTAGAATTCAGATTATGAAATTGAGAGGAATTTATTTGAGTCTTTGCGTTTTTAACTTTTGCTGTCAAATAAATTACAGAGCCTTGAATTGAATGGGATTATAAATAATTGAAGCTTGAATTCTTAATGAAAAGTAATACATCTTTTTCACAATCTACCATTAGAGTGTTGCCAATTTGATTTGTATTTTTTTATTAGAAGAGTATGCTATCGATTTCTAAGTTCATATTTCCCTTAATTTCAAAGTGAATTATTGCAGATATTGATGTAGTAATGACATCTTTAAATTGAGTATTTCGGTATTGATTGCTACCTTAAATAATAGATACATTGCTTGTTTTTTGAATATCCTCATCTTAATAATATATTGATCCACCATTTATAATTGCCTCAGTTCCCTCAATTGAAACACCTTCAATGATAGTTTGAGTGGATTATGGATTAATAATGAATAAATCTCCTCCTATGCTTCCTATACTATTTATAAAAGTATTATTTCTTATTGTTAAGGAGCAGTTTTAACAATAAATATTACCTCCATATAATGCCATATTATTGATAAATTCATTTGATTGTAAATTTATTTTATTACTAGAAGCAGTTTACAAGGTCACTATACTACTCTTGTAAGATAGTCCTAAATTTTTGAACTTATTTTAAATGAATTCCACTGAAATTTCTAAATTAGACGAAATTATATCTATTAATGGTGTTTAGTTAAACTACTTCTATATTATCAGATTTTTATTTAACTATCTAGATTCTTAATCTTAATAAGTTGAATTGCCTTCAAAATTCGAATAACTAACTGTGAGCTTAACTGGATAAACAGAATTTAAAATACATAAAAATCTTCCACAGCCTGCTGTGTATTAGTTTTTAATTGTGAATGATGGATTGTAGACATCATTTAGTTGTATATACTCCATGTAAATTAATGAAGGATTTAAAAAAGTCAGAAATCCATTAAAATTCCCTAAATTTGATTCAAAACCTATTTAAACTTCTTTGATAGTCACATTTCTCATCTTTATCGTATGATTTGAAACTTCCATCTTAATTATGCCAGAGTTCCTTTAATAGCATTATTCAAAAACACTGTTAAATATAAATATTTAATCAATGGCTAATTCCATTTCATTTGGCATATGCTCATACTAGATTGATATTAGTTAATTATTAGTATTCCCCATAAAATTTTAAACAACTAATGTATCAAGTTTTATTAATTCAGTAATTAAAATCTAGTTTTAATTAACATAAGGCTTTCTAATTATCAACTTTATAAAAGGTTCAATCATAAACTACATGCTTTAATCAGTTCTAATGTTTATATTTCTAAAAGTAATATTCATCATCACAATTTAACTTGCTGAAATTACCAAGATCGGATAATCGCAGTTAAAGCAATCGATGTCTTCAAACAATGCATTATTCATTTAAAAGTCATGAATATGAGAATATTAATCCAATCAAAGGAATAGCTTTGGATCTCTGTAGTTTATTAGCATAGGTTAATAAGGTAATTCTTCAACTGATTGCAATTTAATATTTTTGAATTTTGAAAATGTCTTAAAGCTATTTATATATTTTATTAATATTCTTGTATCCCATTAAAGCTTGATAAATGGGCTTATTCCTCCCAATCTTTGATTCTAGTTTACTGTAAATCCAAGAGCTTCAGGGCCATATGGATTTCCTTTAATTCCAATGTGATTTTGAATTGTTAGGCCATCTAATGTAAGTTATCCTTAAAAAAATGCTATTGTTAATATTTAACCCTTGATATTTGAAGCCACTGTTTCATATTACCAATTTGAGTCGAATGTACTATTAATTAATTTAAT